AAAAGCAACAGGCAGAATAACACTATTTACAAGACAAAAGCTGAACAGCTGTTACAAGAATGCCTAAGGATAAATACAGCCCACAGGTTAGCGCTTAGAATACAGAGAGCAGCATGAAACATTTAGATAGGCAGCACAGAGACCCATAAAAACTACACCTTATCCCCTTAGTCACATGAAACATCCATTTCTAATCCTAGCTGAGTAAAGCTTTCTGGCTTTAGCAGTAGGTACTGTAAGCTGAAGTAGCGTTACCAGTGCCACAGTCTCTTGCTACCTGTAGCACATCAGGCAGAGCAAGCACAGCAGCAGCTAAAGCAAGACAAGATTTCCCCCTCCATCCCCCTTCAGAAACCCCTATGAAAAATACTTCTTCGACAATGACATACTGCTCTACAAGGTTTGTTTTACAATGCTGAAATACTGATGGATGTTTCTTTAGCACTGTTGATCCCTCTCTAAAAATTAGTCAACATGTTTTCATTAACTTCAAACAACAGTTGTATTGGTAACTTGCAATAAACAAAAGGCAATTTTCTCCTCATAAAAACCATGTTTTCCTGAAAAAGGAAACAAATACAAGCCAGACCAGCAACTCCCTTCTCTCAAAAGAATAAGGGAACTGGCAAGTTAATACAGCACTATTTCTAAAAGTTACATGAATCCTACTGAAGTTATAAGTCAACTGCATTATGTGAATGTAAAATAAAGCAGAATGTAATAATATATGCTAGTGTAAAACTCTCCAATAAACATTTGTTATCTGGCTACAACAGAATGCTTTAAACACTCAAGAAAACTCTTTAAAAATCCCCCCATATCATATATTAACTACTGCTTCTCTTCCATAATCATTCTCATTTCCACTCTCTTTTCATTTCATGTCCTTTGCGCTGTTCAGGGCCACAGATACTGAAGGAAAGTTATCTCTTCTATTCCCCACATTGTTATCTGAGCTACATGGATTCTGAAGAAAAGCTACGTGGATTCTGAAGAAAACATGTACAATATAGATGGAAAATACTTAATAAATTCTACAAGTACTGTAAGATTTCACTACTTAAACCTCATGGGCTTTTCTTCACCACTCTCTTTAAGTTAAATAAGACAGGCCAGTAAGGCCTAATCTGTTGCCCTTCCTGCTAGGAAGGTACTTAAGAAAAAATTCCAAGATACCTAAAACAATTGATGCCTTACCTTATCCTTCCAGCAAACAAAGAAAGCTGAAAGTCAGCAGAAGATACAGCACAAAGACTTGAATAAATAATAATAAACCACATCACTTCCAGCTTGTTCAAGGACTACCTCACAGGTATAGTTTTAAATTACCACAATAGGGGCCAATTCAAACACAGTTTACCTGACCAGCATAATTACTTACTTTATTAATATAAAATTAAGCTTTAGGGAAATCTACTTTAATCACTCCTACGTAACTGGTCAACTGCAGCATTCACTATGGTCAAATTCTGACCCAAAGCCAGGAAGTTGCCCCAGTTTCCCTGAGAAGACGGGCACAAAGTCAGCCTGGCGCCACTTGCACAACTCGGCCAGGGCGCAAAGAGAGGCTGCTACAGGATCCCTGACTAGCTGGGACGAGAAACGCATTGACCAGGCAGGAGAAAGGAAGACAACGACAAACAGAACGGTTTTTGTTCCACACGCAGAACTGTCAGGCCTCAACGCGGCGTTAACCCTTTTCTCCCTGGCGCGGAGGCTGGGACTTGCTCCCGCCTGCCCCTTGCTCGAGGGCAGGTGCCGCCGGCGCTCCCGGGGCCGAAGGGCGGCTGCTCGCCCAGCCGGGCGAGCCCGGGGCGGAGGAGAGCGGCCCCAGGCGACCTGTAGCGCCCGGGTCACTCGAGGACACGCGCAGATATCGGTTACGCAAACCACACAGCGGTTTTCGCCGAGCTCCGCCCGCGGGCCCCGGGGCGGCCACGGACCCGCTCGGCGCCCCACGGCCGGTCCCCCTCTGCCTCGGCTGGCCCGCGGGGCCACGGCAGGTGAGCGGCCCCGCTGCCCGCCGCCGCCGAGGGACGGGGCGGCCGCCACGCAGGCTCACCGGCTGGCCCGACGAGCGGCGCCGGGCACCCCGCAGGACGGCAGCGCCCTCCCGCTCCGCTGGCGGAGGGGCAACCCCGGGAAAAGCGGGGACCGCGAGAGTTGCCCTCGGAAAGCCCCGCTCCGCGCCGCTCCCCTCCTTCCGCCCGTGCTCCCTCGCCCGCCGGGGCCGCGGGGCACCTGTCAGCGGCAGCCGCCCCTCCCTTACCTGCGGCCGCCGCCCCCCGGCCCGCCCGCGCAGCGGCGCTGGGTCCGCGCGCTCCGTCCGCGCGGCAGCCGGCGGCGCAGCGCGAGGCACCGGCTCCAACCGGCGCGTCTGGGGCGGGCCCGCCGGTGTCACGTTACCGCCCGCGCAGCCAATGGGCGCGGCCGGCGGCGCCGCTGACGGGCCGGGGCGGGGGAGCTGCGGCGGACAAAAGCGCCGCGCTCGGCCCCGGCCCGGCCCCGCCGCTCACCTGCGGAGCCGCCTCACCGCCCCTCCCCGCACACCGGGGAGCTCCCGGTAGCCCGGCCGGCTCAGGGCCCTTGCTCCCGGCCCGCAGGCAGCAACCCCCACCTCCGTGCCGGCGTTTAAATAACCCGAGCGTTGGAAGAGGTGGAGGAAGTGAGAAAGCCATTGTCGCCGGCCGTTAGCAAATAAAAATAGAGACGGTGACACTTGCGAAATGCACTTTAATCCCACCGGAGGCTTCGGCTGGGACGGGCGCGGATCCCGGAGCGGCCCGACCCCCGCTGGGGCGGGCGGAAGGATCGGGGCTGGGGATGCGGGAGCGGCACCGCGCGGGTGCGTTCGGGATGAGCTCCCGCCCCAGCCGCGGCACCGCCGCTGCGAATGTCCTGCTGCACCGGGGGTCTCCTCCCGGGGCCAGGGACACCCAACACCTTTCTGACAGGAACAGTCTGGTCTCTGCGGCCAGGCTCTTCTATGGCTCTTTATTCCACTGAAAACCCGATATCGATATTATAAAGTTCACGATTAAACACAACGTTTTTAAAAAGTCATAATTAATTTGACTTTCCTACTTCACCTGCTCCAGTGGGCAGTGCAGCTCCCTTCTCCAGATGTCTGAAGTGGCCAGTTCTGCTGGGTAAAGGCATGAAAACCTGAAAGAAAAATTTGATTTCTACCTAGATTTCTACAAAAACTGGGACGAATGGGCTCTGTCTCCCTCCTCTTAGTCGTGCAAACAGCTCAATCTACTCAAGTAATTGTCCTGACATATTTTCATTATTAGTAGCGCCATTGCAAGGACCTAGTATAAACTCTATTTACAGTACACTCTATTTACTCCTTACACTGGCTCTGCTATGGTAATGTTTATTCTCCGTCTAGTCATCAAATTCGTGGAAAAAGAGACTATTTTCAAAATAACGCTTTTTGTCCGTGAAACACAAAAGTCCTTTTCTCTGCAGCTGTTCAAATCTGCCTTCATTTTAAATAGCAAAGACACTAAATTTTAGAAAAGCTAACAATTTTAAACTTGCATTCACAGTTTTCAAATATGTTTTCAGTACACATTTAGCTAGTAGTGTTAGTTTCAATTTAAAAGAGACATTAAAATAAATAATACTTTTGAGGAAGCACCAGCATTGCACTGGAGCCAAAAGTGAAAATAATTAAAAGGGAACCTCACTTTTTAATGCAAACTTGTAGAAATACCAATGAAGAGGTGTGTTGAAAGAAAAAAAAAACAAAAAACGAACACCGTTTGTTTTTCTAGTTTGCAGTCCCGGTGGTAGCCTAGCAGGGAATGTATTTGTTTTAGGCTGATGGTTTCTGCTTAGGGTATGTACACTGATAGTAATCTAACCTCAGAGAAACAGCTGCTGTCACCACAAAGATGTCAACATTGTGGCATTGTCTGCAATTACCGCTCCAAGAGTGGTTGGTGAGGTTTGGTAAACAGCAGAGAACAGGCCAGTCTCTTCCCAGGAGACCAATTCCCTTTTGTCTCATGACCTGCCGCCTCCTTAGCTGGCTGCATCATCAAGACAAATTTTCTGCTCTATTGGGGTTTCCCTGAGGAATTTTTAAATCCATTTTACAGGGACTATTTCTCCCCTCCATGAGCAAAATAAATAAAAGTACATCTTGTTTTATAATCTTGCTTTCTACTAACACAAAAAGGAAAAGTCTTTTTCTGGGATCTGCCATATTTTCTTTTTGTCAGCAATATACTAGGAAGACAAATTCATGTTTGACTAAATTATAAAACCAAGACTGAATTAAGTCAGAACACAGAAGTTAATGCTCATAAGGTTCATAATTTCTTGAACAGAAGATTGCAGCACAGTTATCTAGGTTTAGTTCTTTACTCTGGGTAAATATAGATACTGGGTAGCTCGTAGGGAAGCACAAGGGGAGGACTCAGCCTGTCAGCCACACCATACCAATCTCTGAACAAAGGAAATATTTGGTTAACACTTTACTCAAAACCAGCACCATTTTAGCAGTGCAGCTACTCACTGTATACTTAGCCAATCAAGCTCATCTTTAAGGCCAGCTTAGTGACAATTATTTCAGGATGAATTTCTTCCAGTCTTTTTCAAGCAACATTATCTAGAAAATGTTCTTCAAGCTCCAACACCCATTCTATTTTGTGACAGCCATCTATAAGGTACTGAAAGACAACAGCTTGACAATACTGTGAAAGTTGAGCTTCCTTTCACACATTCTGCCATCCCCTGATTTTTTTTTACTTGCTATTTAGATGTCACAAACACAACTATATGTGTGTGTATATGTATATATATATATATATATATATATATATGAAATAATTATTTCAAATGTTATGCTTGGTGTGACTATTGGGTATCCAGAGCATCTGCTTCAACCCCTTCACTTGTACAATTTTGGGAAATCCCATGTAGTAAGAAAAGGAAAGCTATATAGGAAAGTGCTGTATATTTAAAAGAGCAATACAGTCAGAATTTCACTTTAAAATATTTGCTATTGAAAATTCTTTCTAATATTACAGAGATTATATTTCTCTTGTCTTTTAGCCCTCCAGCAGTGTTTGGAGTTGCAGGAGCAGCAGCATCTTGATCGGTGATCATGCTGGCAGCAGTATCTGAAGCTGAGCCTGTTCTGTAAATAAAGGACCCTATGACAATTGCTTTGCAATCACCAAGTGCATTTCTGCCTATATGATTCTCAGGATTCTGTCTTTCGATTTGAATGGCTACAGGTGAAGCATGAACAATCGGACCACAACTCTTTAACTCTTAAAATTCCATACTACCATTTATTCTATTCAAGATAATAAAAAACATGTAAGCTTCATAGTTATTAATATAGTTTCATTTAATTCCCTGGTATATCCTTATTATCTTACTTGCTCTTTCTGGCATTTGCTAAAGCTTCTTTGTCTTCTACTGACAATTTAGAAATCACATGTTCCATACGCTCCAGGTCATTGATTCCTGGTGCTCGCAGTGACCAACAAAGGCTCTCCTGCAGGGACGGGAATTTTAGAACAACACTTCCCTCTGCCGGACCCGCGGGCAGTCACAGCTCTGCCTGCCCGAGGGACCTGCGCTCCTTCCTCTGCCTCTTGCTCCGACAAGAGCCTGCTCCTCCCAGGCCGCCCGGGACAGTGCGGAACTAGCAAAGCTCAAAAGAATTCATCTGATGAATAGGATAATCATAAAAATTTCATCGAGTATCAACTGGACAGAAATATCAATATACTTTCTTCTCAAGACAGGAATATCTCAAAGCCATAGATAATGCGAAAACCGGGAGTCTCAGGGTCTGACACTTCATATTCCCTCCAAAACCCTGACAGCTTTATGCAAGATGAAATTAGAACAATATTTAAAAATACCATTTACCCCAATAATCATGCATTTATTTCTTTATAGTGTGTAAATATATAGGGCCATGCAGGGGAAAAAAAAATAAAGGACAGTTAAGAAGAATTGTCTGCACCTCTTGTGACTCTATGAAAGCTAAGATGGTGCTACAGTGAATTTTAATTGAGTGACACACTTCCTACCTGGCTATCTGTTCCAAACTGCTTGCAATAATCAGAGTATGACATTTTACAGGGAGGTTGATGGAAGCTACTATATTCAGATACAACTATCTTGACTTCAAATCATTAGTGGTTAGAATATTGTCCTCAGCTGAGGGTGAGCATTAGAAGGAAGGGGACAGAGAACTGCAGAGATACATGAGTAAGACTGTGCTTAAATCACGCCCTTCACAAGGACGGGACCTGGTCCCAGTGCAGTGCTCCTAACACGTGCTCCTAACTCATAAGAATACCACTGTAAAACATAATTAAGCATTTTACTGAACAAAGATTCTGTTCACATACTCTGCTGAATGAAGGCTTTTAGTGGGCTTCAAAACATAGGAAGAAGATGAATAAGCTGAAGATAGAAGAAGGGGAGTAGAAAATACAGATATAATTGCTGTGTGTCTGCTAGAATGCTACAAACAAATAATAATGATAAAAAAATTAGTGCTTTGATATTCAAATAACATTCACTCCTATTGCTCAAAAAATGCTTTGACTCCACTGTACAATTCTAGTATTGCAAGTAGAAGTTATAAAAATGCAATTAAGAATCTAGCACTTGAAACACTACATCGCATGATTTGCTGCAGAAATACGCTTCAGTGTATTCTTATGCAGATTCTGGTTTCTCTCAACTATCCTGGGCCTCTTTCACTTATATCTTATTTTTTACATTTCATTCACCTTGCACAGGGGAGAGAAATTTACACCTAATAAATATTTCATAAATGCCTGCTTCTGTTTTGCCCAGAACTCTTGCAAAGTCTTGAATTTCTTGAATTCAGCACTTGTACGTGGACAACTTTATGCTTGCTAGAAATCAGAAGTCCTCCAGTAGGGAACTCCTGACTGTGTTGTTTTATATCATCACTGCTCTTTTGCTTGTTAGGCCTCAAACATGCATCCCTGATTTCAGCTGGGACAGCCCAAGAGGGTCACTCCCTTCAAGTTTTCTCTTGTTGCTGATTATAGTCCCCAGCTAATTTTTCATCAGAAGTTGCTGTTGCCTCAGATCTGCAGCCTGGTTTAGGTGTGATGCTGCTCCCCACTTTGGCGTTATCCAAACTAAGTGAATCAGTTAAACACTCTTAGTTACAAGGTTTCACTTCGCATCATTTTGAAACACTCAGTTTGGGATCTACCAGTATAGGCTGTTTCCCCTTTAACTTGCCCTTACAAAAAAACAGTATCTGCTCCTCACCTTGCAGTCTCTGATCCTCAGGGAAACTGTTACATCAAAAGACCAAAGGCAAATCATTCGTCTTTCAGCACACATTTAATCTGGATCATCTTCTCATTCCCTTCAGTCTTCTTTTTGGATGTGTATTTTGAACTTGGTCAGTAATTTATCTGAAAAAAACATTCCCAAAATCCCTTCAGAGAGTGTACACATAAATTCTTTACTATTTGAAGCCCGTGCCAGAAAAAAATGTCACCGAATCACTTTCTGCTAGGTTGAGGAACCCATAAGAAAAAAATGTCTCTGCTACATCTCAAAAGAAACTTGCTTTATGTCTTCTAGAGAGCATGGGAAAAATAAGGCAAGAAGGTCTGTTATACCAAAATATCTTTACCTCAATTCAAATACAAGAAAGGTACCGCTGAAATTTGTCAGAAAAATACTTCCATTTTCATACTTTATTTCATTTTTATTAATGGCATGATTCTACAGGGGAAAAAAACCCTAATTTTGTCCACAAACCCTCACTACATAAAAAATACTTTTTTATAATACTTCTAAATTTTATAAAAAAGTCAAAGGCCCATAGACACAGTATAAGATCAGCATTGGTGGTATGAAAAATTCCAAATAAATTAATTGTTTGTGCTACTGCTAAGAAATGCTAGAGCTTTCCAACACCTGCTTCACTCTGCAGTTGCATTCAATTTTCTTACTCATATTTTCATTAAAAATGTATGAGGTCATTTAAAATTGGAGTCCTCTCAGCACCTTCTAAGATTATCTCTTTAGAGGCAATAAAGCAAGTATAATCTGAATTCCAGGATCACATTAATTGGCCATTATGCCTTTTTTAAAACAGTGCCAAGCTTATACAGTAACTATTATCTGATAAGCAAATTGTAACAGTGCAGGCTACCAGGAAAGGAAAGAAAAACTCATTATTTTTTAATGAGAATCAAAATAAATGCTTACTGCACAACCTCTTATAGGGAGTTCCTTGGCATATATTTGAAATGTTTAATCACAAAACAATGTAGTCAGATATGAGTCATACACCTCACCCCAAATGACTGAAAAATCCTATGCATTTGTTTAATGCTCCATACTCTGAGTAATATGGAAAATTCTCACTGAAGTACTTCCAGCTTCCTAGATTTCCCTTATGCAATCCAGTGTTAGTCACACAGTGTGGGAGCAGAGTCACATTCCCTTCTCAATCCAGATGCTGGCAGGACTCAGCCTTTAGGAATAAAGCTGGGCTTGTGGGATATTTGGGCTATACTTCTTCATCTGTATTATCCTACATTCTTTTCAAGATGGCACACTAATTCCTCATCTCCTCAACTAAGGATTTGCAAAGGACAAGATTCACTCTCTTTCTTGAGCAGGGCTTGCAGTCACAGCATGGCAGACTGTGAAGTGGCAGCAGGGTCATGGGCCAGGGGTAAGGATGGTCCCTCCCACCCAAGAGACTCCAAATTATCCATGGCTGAGAGGTGTGTGGGTATCTGCCTAATCCACTGCACAGGCATGCCTACAGGACACCGAGCTGCTGCAGAGCCTGCCTTCCTGTGCTTTTGCTTGAAAAGCAGGACTTGAAAAGCATAGCTGGGCAATTCTGAGGGAGCAAAGGAATTGAGGAAGAAAATGAGAAGAGGAATTGTGAGCAAAGAGATTCTCTCATCTGCTGTCCAGTGGATTTTGTAATGAGAAAAACAGGCTTTTGTCCGTTTCTTGTTAGTAAACAAATCTGTGACAAAGACTTGTATGTCCCATCAGTAATGAAATGGTTTTTCTTTTCAATGAAAAAAATCTTTAGAGCCTTAAATTCATATAAAAAGGAAATTACCACACATATCTGCTTTTTGGAACTGCCACATATAAGGTTTTATTTTTATGATTTGTATAATACCACTTTGGAAAGTATTGGCTATATGCCAAGGAAAATCTGATTTAAATTTTATGTTTTTCATTTCTACTTTGATTTGACCAAGATACAGTTTTATTAGAATCTTATCTACTGCAGCTGGAGCTGAAAATTCTGATGGACAAAACATAGCTGAAGTCAGCTGATTTTTTATGGACTGTTAATAGTGTGTTTGGGAACCCAAATTCTGCCAAGTAATTTTGTCCTTTTAAATTGAACTGAAATCAGTTCAATTGAAAACCTCACTAATCAGTTTTGTAGTGTACAGACTCCTGACCTCCTTTCCCATAAAAAAAAAAAAAAAAAAAAAAAAAAAAAAAAAAAAAGATGGATCATGATTTGAAATTAGACTAAAAATGCACTAATTCCTACTTCTAATGAATGAGAATGTCTTAAGCTGCCATGGTAGACTTCTATCAAAAATTGAGGAGGCATTATTAAGCACTTACAAAACGAACAAGATGCTTCCAAACTGAACCTCAGTACAAGATACTTGGGGTCCTTAAAAAATGTCAGGAAAGTTAAATTCAGGTGATGGCAAAGATACTTTTAAAATACAGAAATAGGTATTATTTTTATGTATGAAAGATAAATCTAAAAAACCAAATGCCTCACCTCACCACACCTAAATTTATTACTTTAGCTGAGCCCTGGGTTTCAGGACTGATTTACTTTTATGAAAACTGTTGCATGCTGTATTCATCAGACAATGTATTTAAACAATAAGCTCAGTATTCCTGTTTTCCTTGCTGTGCCAGAACTGCTAAAATTCTTTTAAGCTAGTGATCTTTGAAACAGAAGTTTTGGACCTACATACTACTCAAAGTGTAGGAAAGCTGGACTGCTTACTCAGTTTCTCTAACACTTATGAGACAGGCCTCCTTCAAGACTATCTGACTGATATGCAAGGTGAGGATTTCCTGCTTAAAGCACTAAATACCATTACATTTTTTAAAAATTGTCATTTTGGGGGGAGATTTTGAAAAGTTGCTACTGCACATAGGGTAGCAACAATTCTCATAGTCATCCACAACTACAGCAGACTTTGACTGTTGCAGAAGTTGGATCTCTTGTAAGTTTTTCATAATTCCATTGAAATTTAAACAAAAACTGTTGCACCAGAGGCTACAGAATTGTAACTAAATGAACAGACACTACTATCTTTGCCACGTTAGTTAAGCTGCAGTGGATCCCATTAACTCACATGCTCAAAAGATTCTGTTGCACCTACAAGAGTCACAGTCTTGCACTAGAGGAAGTGTCGGTGCCAGTTGGAGCAGACAAGACTCAAAACCTCCTGCACTCCAGCAGACTGTCTCTGCTGCTCTGGTAAACACTGAGCAGCACTTAGGGTAAGAACTCAAACAGTGCTTGTTTCATCATCTGAGGATGAAGCAGGAGAATCTTACCAGGATCCCTTCAGCTGTCTGTATCATGGGCCTACAGCAGACAGGATGATGGAGAAGCCTGGGGAGTATCACAGTTCATGGATTACCCCTTGACATCCGCTTTGTACACAAGTCTCTGAAAAATACGTGCATCAATGGAACAAAAGGCCAATGGTAGGCTAAAGTTTCTTTTTTCCCCCTTTTGAAGCTCTTCATGGCATAGCAGAAGTTGGAATCTGCTGCCCTCCAGTGCATTCTTGCAGATGTCCTCTCTGCCAGAAGACTGTATACTGCATTTGGAGACCATGAGAATTCTCAAGAAGCTTTAAAAAAAAAAAAAAAAAAAAGTGTTAAATTTTTGGTGTGCCTTATTTAGGATCTAAAATAATTGCTGGGACTTGTTTCTGAATTTTGCTGTATTGTTCTGGCCTTGTCAGAGTATTTCTACATCCAAGAAGTGTTCTAGTTTGTTCTATGAAATTGGTTCTCTGCAATCAGCTCTTACTCTTTCATTTTCTATGAATATATACAATGATTGTATACAAAACACAATACATATGGTAATGATATGCAAATAGTGTATACATCCCATTTTGTATCTGCATTCTGCCTGTAATTGTCATCTTTGTGATTCCTACTGACACATCAGAGAACTTTCTAGTATCCACATTAAAAGGAAACAATTAAGACTTGCTATGGAAAGTATTTTCTCACTGGCTTGTACAGTTTTTTCCAAAATATTTATCTGTAGTATTGAACATTTTTGAACAAGAAATGTATTTGACAATATATCATGTTGTCACAAGCGCCCTTGTAAAATCTGAACCTGTGAGTTCTTTCAGCTCTGCAGAATCACAATCGGATTTAGCATAAAAAATTAATTGGAGTTGTACGGCCTTTCTCTTAAACAATGATGTACAATGGTCTAAACGATCAGTACAAAGGTGTTGATATTAAGGCAAACCAGTTTTATAAAGATTTATAAGAGCAGGAAAAGTAGGCTGTAAAGACATTGCAAATATATACATATTTCTAACTGAATAATCAAATTTGGTGATGATGAGAAGTTGATTATAGGGAACTTTTTCATTTACAAATTGAGTAAGTCTCTGTTCTGATTGTGAAGGGGAACCTTAAAAATGCAGATTCTGTGAGTTTATTAAATACCTTAAGAAATCTGGAAAATCTCATTCTTTTCCTTATAAAGTGCTTAACTTAGGCATCAGATAATTTTTTTACGTTTTGGACACTTTATTCCCTTCAGAAAGTCCAAAGCCCAAGAAAGGCAACCAGCCCAGTTTTCCCAAGAGAGCGGCAAGTTTTATGATAGTTGGGAGATGCTACGTACGTGTGTGTGTGTAGCTCCACAAAACACCGGGGAGAGACATTTCTAAGCCTTGGTTCTGCCCCTCAGCAGCTCCTCGCCTGAACGGCGGGACGGGCGGACCCGGCCCCGGGCTGGAGCAGGAGGGATGGGCGCTCTCCGCCCCTCAGGGCGGTGGGACGGGCGGACCCGGACCCGGACTGGAGGAGCGGGAGGGATGGGCGCTCTCCGCCCCTCAGGGCGGCGGGACGGGCTCCGGGCTCTCTCCGGCCCTCGGACTGGAGGAGCGGGAGGGATGGGCGCTCTCCGCCCCTCAGAGCGGCGGGACGGGCGGCCCGGGCCCCGCCCCGCGGGAGCGATCGCGACGGAGGCGCGGGTGGAGGCGGTGTCGGGGTGGTGAGTGTGGCGAGTGTGGCGGCGCCGGCCGGGGCGGAGGGCTGCCCTCGGGGCTCTCTCTGCCCAGCACCTCCGGGGAGGCGGCTCCCAGCCCCAGCTCGGGCGGCCGCGCTGGGTCCCGCGGAGCGGCCGGGCCGGGCCCGGGGAGCCCCGGCTGTGACCGAGGGGCCTGTGGGGGAGGGCGGGCGGCGGCGGTGCCTCCCGGGCGGGTTCCGGCCTCCCCAACCCCTGCTGCAGGTCGCCAACACGTGTGGGTGGGATCGGAAGTGCAACACAGAGTGGCTACATGGTAGAGCTGCTCTACGAGGGAAACAAAAAAGTAAGGAAAAATCCCGCAATATCATGCCGCTCCTTAATCCGTATGGTAAAATTTATTTCTCCGCACACAGTTTGCTCCATTCCGTGTAGATAATGAAAGAAGAAATGACAAAATGTTGACTACTATGATAACTCTTTCTCATACAGAAGGTTCAGTGCCTTTGTCCAACTTCCCTGAGTACAGTGATTTTAGCAACAGTTCTCTTGGCTCTCAGTAGCCATCTATTGCATATAGATAGTAGGGAAAAAAGTCCTGGAGAGCCCTCCACTGGTAAGGTGGCACCTTTTCTTTCTCCAAGGCTTGCATCCTCTAGACGATAAGAAGATACAGTCCTTTGAAGACTTGACAGCATTTAGCTGAGGTATAACATTTTCCAGATTTTCGTATCCCAAAAATATTAAGCCCAGCACAAATATAACAGGGATTATATTTACATTATGACTTTACTGTGGTGGCAGACAGGCTTTCAGTGTTTGTAGTAATGTTTGTCACTGAGGCTCCACAGTAAAATGAAACTATTTGTTACCTGAAAAAATGCAGCAATTTAAGGGGTCTGACCAAGTGTCTTTCAAGCTCTGTGACATAGTTTTTTTTAGAGGTGGAATAACCGAAGCTTAAAAATTAAGGAACAGTAACATTTGGCCTTTTGTTTCAAAGGAGAAAAATAAATTAATTACAAAATTGTAACTCTTTAAAAATGCCCCATAGGTTCAGCAGCATCCCAGTGTCAGGGTACTGTATGACCAGGAAGTTGGGCAGCTGTGAAGGGAGCAGAAGAGCCTACAACTCAGATTGTATCTATGCTGGAACAGTTAAAAAGCACAGCATGAACTAAATGATTGTTAGTACACAGACGTATTCATCTATTTCCCATGACCAAGTTAAATTGTATCTTCCAGTCTAGTTTAGAATTGTATCTTCTAGAATTGTATCTAGTCTAGAATTGTATCTTCTAGTCTAGTTTAAGTACCAAACCTGAGTTTCAACCCAATTAGGAGCCAGAATGTTGCTACTAGTCCCACTGAAAAACATTTCCTGCACTCATATTTCCGGTAGCCTTGTTTGCTTCTCACTCCCCTAAAAATATAGAAAGCTGTAGTAGTCATTTGTTACTCTTTTCCCCTAACATGTTAATTTTCCTGTTTGCTCTATGGATATGCAAACCTGAATTCCAGGGGACTGACTACATGAATTCTTCAGAGCACTGCAAATTAGAATGGGACAAAAAGAATTCCTAATTTAATTTCTGGGTTTAGCAAACATGACTCCTGGCCAAAATGCTGATGTCTGACTCCAAGATTGAAAAAAGAAACATTAATAAGACTAAGCAAGAAATTACTATTACCTTTTAATTCCCCCACAAAGATCAGTGCATTTTCTGTGCTTGAAGAACCTTACAGATTTTGAAGAGTGTTAAAATGGGGTTTGCAGTACTTCTCTAGCTACCTGGCATTGTGTAACTTCCCTGATCTGGAAGAAACTTTGTATCCCAATTATAAAAACTCGGTTTAGGACAATATAAAGGCATTAATGTGCCTTACACATACTTGGCTGTGCTAAAACACATACAGGGGTAATAAATGAGAGTGCATTCATCATAAAAATAACAGGAAATAATTCTCTTGAGCCTGTGGTATGTCTTAACATGTCATGTAAATTATACTGGGCATGTGTGTGATTGGAAAACAGAGTAGGAGTAGGCCTTGCTTTTTTTTTTTTTAGATCAGTGTGTGGGAGAGTATCTGGTTATATTAAGGGGGCTTTTCCCTTTACATCCTCGATGTCTAAGTGGAGGTACTCAGAGTTACAGATGAGAAAAGAGGCGTTTTTAGAAATGAAAGAAGTCATAAAGGTACTTTCTAGGAGGCTTTGTCATTTAATTTCCAATAGTCTTGTCTCTTGAATCTGAACAAATGCTGTTCAGTTTTCACTGGAAAAGTGTCACAAAGATAGAAACAGTGGGAGAAGTGTTACATGCCAGTGCCTGTTCTTACTGTGGCTGTTCAGCAAAGTCATTTCCATTATGTTCCTCATAAAGTTTTCAGAGTTTCTACATTTCTGTGGTATTAAAGGTGGTATTTTTTTCTTCAGGTATTTTAGGCACTTGCAGAGATTGACCACACCACAGTTACACAGGTGTGTTGCTGCTCATGCAGTGTGGTGGGTTTGTGTGATTGCCTTGTGTCAAATAATGGTTCTGTTTTTCAGTGCACCATGGCACTAATGCTGGAAATATTTACAACTGTCAGTAGTTTTTCTTACTTGCAAGTTAGTTCTGCATGTAAGGCTTGCACGTTTTTGGTTTAATTTTTCAATTTCTCAATACAAAATGAAACAGGCAAAGATATGCATATTTGTCTCTCTGTACTAACTACTGCAAGCGTTCACAGTGGGCTGCAAGAGTTATGCTGTCTTTGGTCTGACCCTGGGGAATAGCACCAATGCCATGGTCATGTTTTAAGATAGCATCAGTGTGTTACACAAATAGTTTTTGTAATCTTAAACAAGCAGAGCAATAGAGACCTTCATAATCTTTTTGATTTTGCATAGTTATTCTCAAAGATAACCTTGAATATGCTAAGTGGTTTTATTAGAAATCACTTAAAATGGATTTTCTGATCTTTTCTAAGCACATGTATTTCTTCTGTGTCTTTCAGAGTATCTGCTGAGTAGAGTCAAAGATTTTGTTGATGTTTACTTTTTTTTAGTCCTCAGACTAGCAGAGTTTCTTCTTGTAAATGAACATCAGTTGTTTACTTGCAGATTGCTAAATGCAATGGGATGATGGGGTTATTTTGACGGTCTAATTGAGTTAGCGAGAATTCACTATTGTGTGAGAAAGACCCTAATTTCAGAAGTGAGACTAAGTTTGTAGCACAGCAGTAAGAGAAAGGCAAAATCAGCATGCTTTTAAAACTTATGTATTGAGGCATCTTTGATTGGCCTTTTCTCTTAGTTAATAAGCGTAAAGGACACTTTCTTTTTGGACTTAAAGCATTCTTAATGAAAACATCGTATCTTACTGTGCTATTGATTTACCTTTTTTCTTTCTATTCACAAGACTTGCATGGTATCATTTAAACAGGCAATGGCATTCCTTTGTTTCTAATACAAATAGTATTGCTTTTTCTTTTTTTGTTCTCTTCCCCTTCTCAGGTAGCAAAGTTGGGGGGAAATAGAAGTTATATACCCTTTAATGAGTAAATGATAGAAAACAAAGTTAATAATTATACTGCTGTGGCTACTGTGTTTCTTACATTAGATTTGTAGGTTACATGTGTCTAACACATTTCAGTCATTGTGGCAATGTAATCTAATATATGTGTTTTAAAGTATCTTCTGGAAATAGTTGCATGAAGTACCAGTTCTTTTTTGATTTTCATTTTCTCCACTCCGTGAAGGAAGTTACTCTACACAAAGTCTCTTTTCTAGCTCTTTTCAGCTGTGGGAGATATTTAATGTTTGCCAAGTCACTGTGACAAAACTTACTGTAGTTACATAAAATTCCTAGGTCTCCCTTGCCATTGTGACTGGTCATCTTAATTATCCTGATTTCAGCATACCTGATTTGAAACACTTGAAAATGGAGACAAGTTTTAAAGATGTGTATCTTTTTTAAAAAATAGGCCCTTTTTCTATTATATATTAGCAATTTTAATAGCAATTTTTATCACACACACACATTTTCACAAGAATTCTAACAGAGATTTTGAAGCTTGAATTGCATTTAGTCTTAGCTATTATTCAAAGAAAAGAAGATCAATGTTGTCATATAAAGGAATTCTTCCTTTGAGATGACACTCAGAACATTTTTCAGCCCTGTCAATTAGAGTTTCATCCTCTATGCTTACATCTGTGACAACATAATAATTTAGTAACACTTACTTAATTGAAACAAAATCACTGGGGGGAAGAGGAGAGGCTCTTATCTTAAAAATTGCTTAGTGATGTAAGGAACGCCTTAGAATCTGTAAGGTTTTTTACGTCACTTATTTATTATGCAGGCATGTTTCTTGCTTCACGAAACTTCTGTTGCTGTGGCTTTAAGCTAAGAACAGATTTGCTTTCCAGATCCATCAAACATTCCACCTCTGCAGTAAGTATTCCTTCAGCTCCATAAAGAAAACTATTTCATATTTCACACAATGCTTTAGAGATGCAGTAATTTCGCAATGTTACAAATATATATGCTTTAGAAGTGGTTTATTTCTTGTTATAGACAAAGAACAAAATAAGGTGTTTGAATCAGTCAAATATTAACCAGACTAATGTAACAGAATTTGGTGATTATTGCTTTGTGTATCCTTTTCAGTCTTTAAAATCACATCTAGCACATATCACGCTAGAAGGATTCCCTAGCTTTTAGAGAGAAGCCTGAGATACAGGAGACAGGTTCAATCTCAGCTTTATCACAGGCTTTTGGTAAGACAATTT